GGACCACGCTTTCCTTTTGCTCACCTGCGGAGTGGCCACGGGGACATCTAGTCACTATTGAAGACTGTGCTTGGTGACAGGCCTGGGGACATGGGGCCCTTTAGCGTCTCATGGATGAAAGGGTGATCACTGGGCTTCCATTAATATTTCTGTCTAAGCCCTTAGAGACTTTCTGACATAATAATTTTATAATTAGATCAGAAATGATTTGACCGAGAATTGTGTGTTTAAGCTTATGAAGTGTGGTTGTAGAGGTTGGAGGGAGGGGATGTGTGTCTGGAGTGTCGTCCGAGGAGGAAGATGGTGGCACCGTGCCCGGGGCTGGCGGGCGCTGTGCGGATGCCCTGCCTCGTCCTGCACCACCTCCCTGACCCCAGGGAGGCTACGCCAAAAAGCAGGTGGAGACATGAGCACCGGGTTCCGGGCCCTTTAGGAAAGGATTACAGTGGCCGGAGGGCTCAGGTCTCTCGGCCCTCTGCCCATTAGGGGGTGAGTGTAGCTAGAGGCAGTTGCTCAGAAATGGTCAGAGGTGACCTAGCCCGGGGCCTCCCCGAGGCACAAGTGGGGGGAGTGTAGGAGCTCACTGAGCATGCATTCCCCGAAACAGGGTGCCCCCTTCCTTCCCAGGGCCCCGGGGCCGGCTGGCTGCCAGGCCCGCTGCTCAGAGGCGCCGACCTGGACCTGAGGCCCTGTGGGGTTGGTGTCCCATCATATAGCTGTGTGTCGCTCCCTCGGCTGGGCCCTGTGAAGGACCCTGGCAGTTCCGGAGCCCGATCCCTCGCAGATGGAGGACCAAGTAAGACTACAGACAGCCACTAAGCTCTGATGGGGCAGACCGTGTTTTTGGAAATGAGACCTGACCCGTAGAGGTGGATGTTTTCTCGGAGCAGGAGTCCCTTCCAGCAGGCCCGGGGGCGACGGAGCGAAGCGGCTTGGGGCTCGCTGCAGGGTGAGGGTGACCGACCGCCTCCTGACACCTCCCGCTGCCTCCCGACACCTCCTGCTGCCTCCCGACACCTCCCGGTTCCAGAGCACAGGACAGACCCTCGCTTGAAAGATGTCGCAGGGCGGTTGTCAGTATGACTCACCACGGCCGTAGGAAGGCCACAGAGAGGTTTCTGCGGGGCTCCTGGTTTGGAGCAGCTTCTGCTCAAAGGCCCCGTTTGCTGTAAGACGGCTGGTCAGCAGTGTGGGACCATCGATACTGATCACTTAAATATTGGAAAATGACGAAGAAAAGCCATAGCCATTGCTGTTCTCTGATTGATTTTCTGCCCTTTCTCCTGACCATGAAGGGACCATTTGTTTTTTATGGTTCATAACGAGAAGATTCTGGCCCATGTCCACGGTGTTCTTCTTTTCGGCCGTCTCTGGCAGCAGGCGTACCGCTCCTTTAGAAAGCGACTTATCATTAAGAAATACATATATTTTAAGACTGAATACTCTCCCCCCACATACTTTAAATTCTGTTTTGAACACAGGTATCTTTTCTTGATGCGATAAAGATTATGCCGGTTCCCTGCTCTCCGAAAACCGTGTGCTCCCGTGAAACCTCTCCTGAGCCGAAGTGGCAGAAAGCACAGGAACATTCATTCATGTGGGAGAACATTTTTGAGCATCCCCAGACCCCAGAAATGGCGTCCCGGGCTCTCCTGAGACCTTAGGGACACATCTTGCTAATGCACACAGTAAGCAGAGGTGAAACCCTGATGCTCTCAGACACGGCCCAGAGCCTGGGATGGGGGGTGCGGGACGTGAGATGCCGTGCGTGGCCCCCGGGGCCGGTGCACCGCCTCCACGGCTGCGGCTGCACTGCCGGCTCCACTCGCCTTTCCACTTCTTGCCTTTCGCCTTGTCTCATAAAAGCAAAAACCCCCTTTGGGTTTTGGTTGTCGGGAACAGGTGCGTCAGTACTCGCACTCAGAGGTCTTTCCTCGGTGAAACGCGCTAGCACGAGCTTCGGGAAGGTGGTGATACGTGTGTCTCCTGTCCCCGCCGCATTCTCCATGAAGACACACTCATGACATCTCATTAAAACCAACACGAAGCTCGCTGCTGCCATGTTCTGTAGGCATTAGCGACCGTATTCTGGAAGTTGTGGGCAGCGCCTATACCTGAAGCAGGTGGAAAGGAACAAGCCGTTGGAAGGGACGAGACAGACTCATTATTCGTAGCAGTTTCTTTGTCAGCTTACAGGCCCTGTGGAGGGTTACCAAGAAGTAATTACATTTAATGAGGAATTTAATAAAGTGACTAACAGAGGCATTAGCGGCTATCCCGAGAAACCACGATGGGGAGAATACACTTGTAGAAGCACGCTTGCCCCAAACATAAATGACGTGTCCAGGGATAATCCTAAAAGAGATGAGCAGGACTTCTTGGTGAAGAAAACTAAGAAAACAGTACTGACAAAAGCAGATTTGAATAAATGGAGAAACACACTGTGTGCCTGTATAGAGAAATTGAGTGTTAGGAGGTTGTCACTTCTTGACAAAATTAATTTATATGTTTAGTACGATTTTTTGGGTGTTTTTGAATCAATTTTTGTTCATTTAACATTATAAGAATTCAAGTGTCATTCTGTTAAGAGAATATAATGGCGTGCTTGAACATTCCCTTATCTGCTTAAAATTTAGGTCATTTCTACTTCTTCATGATAAGAAATGCTGTGAAGAAAATCTTTACACATACAGACTTCCCCTTTATTATATTTTTTGGTATTTTTGTCTGACAAATTCTCACAGGTGGAATTCTCGGATCAAAGAAGACAATTTAAAATGCTCAGTGTTGGGGCGCCTGGGTGGCTCAGTGGGTTAAAGCCTCTGCCTTCGGCTCAGGTCATGATCCCAGGGTCCTGGGATCGAGCCCTGCATCGGGCTCTCTGCTCAGCCGGGAGCCTGCTTCCTCCTCTCTCTCTGCCTGCTTCTCTGCCTACTTGTGATCTCTGCCTGTCAAATAAATAAATAAAATCTTAAAAAAAAAAATGCTCAGTGTTACCAACATGCAGTTTAATGCGACTTTAGTCAAAGTCTCTATGGGATTAGAAAATTGAATAACTAACTGATTAATTTGGGAAGAAAAGAGATGAATATAAATAAAGCTAAGTAAAACCTTTAAAAAGATTGTGAGAAAGGAAAACTTCCCTCCCAAGCATTGTGAAATGTTATAAAGAGAACTTAAATCAGAGTGGAGCCAGTCCAAGTACTGTTGATGTGATGACGGGATACGTTCAGTGAGCCTGAAGTAGAATTTGTTTTATCTGAGAATTTATATATGCTATAGGCGTCCTACAAACCTGGGAGTTTGGGGATTATTTAACGGGCAATTGGTGTGATTGGCTAGTGTTTTGAGGCAGAAACTGTTCCTCCCGGTATGTCATATAGCACAGCAACATCCAGATGGCTTGAAGGGTTAAACGCAAAACACGTTAAAACACCCAAGAAATCCACGTGCACCCTCACTGAGCGGGATGTCCTGGGCCCCGGGCATGTACTGGATGTTGACGTCCATGGGGGTCAGCTCTGGTCTCGGAAGCCCAGGTCTGAGGACCCTGCCAGCAGGAGAGCACGGTGCTGGGTGGCACAGCCCCCACTGGGGTTTGGGGACAAGCGTCCTAGAGACATGGCAGTCTGCACAGAGACCGCAAGGGAGAGTCGGGGTTGGTAGAGTGGGAGGGCAGGCTTCCAGGTCACACCCCAGGCCATGCCAAGTGGGCGGAGGACGTGGAGCCACTGAGGGCGGGGCCATGGCAGGCGGGTGGCGTGCTCAGCAGGAATTGGGTTCTCAAGATCTGGGCGCGCTGAGCAGTTCAGATGGGGGTGTTGAAGATTTGGGACGGACAGAGCAGGGCAGTGAGCAGGTGTGTGTGAAGGTATGCTCCTGCTGTATCGCTGAGCCTGCCCTGGGGATGGGGCAGCAGGGGAGGCCACTGCAGCTCAGAGCTGGCGTGGACTTGGCTGTGGCCGGGAGCAGAGATAGTGAAGGGGACAGGCCCAGGAGGCAGTTAAGAGGTGGGACGAAGCAGGCAGGGTGGGGAGTCAGGGGTGGTCTCTGCTGTTCAAGAACAGGGGTCGGGCGGGTCAGGGCTGGTAACCAGCTCGGAGCCCTCGCATCTGTTTGAAGTGATACCCCTACCACCCTCTGCTGGGATTTTGGCTCCTTTGATTTATGGATGTATCCTCACCGCCTGAAAATAGTGATGGGCACCTAGCAGGTGCTCAGGAAACGTTTGAAGGATGAGCTGCAGGTTTCTGGCTTGAGCAGCTGGGGCGGGAGGGCTGACATTCTGCATGCCGGGCCGCTGGAGAAGGAACAGGTCAGACCTTCAGGAAGCTGCGTCAGATGATAGAACCAAGGCTTGGTATGTCTAGAGGCAGGAAATGAACTGGATGGCAAACACGAGACTAGGGCAATATTTGCAACAAATAATGTGGATGGAGCCTTTCATAAGTAAAGAGTACGCGAAGTCAATTGGGAATAGTCAGTAGTGCCCGTGCCGTGGTACAGACACGAGTAGGAAATCCACAAAACAAAGTCACAAATCGTGACCACACACTGGAAGAAGTTCCAGTGTTACTAATACCGAAAGAATGCTACCGGATGAGTGTGACGACTTTTCTCTCCCCAAATCAGAATGACTTTAAATAATGAGAGTAGCATAACCTTGTCAGAGCATAAGTTTGTGCAACGTTTTTGCAAAGGACTTTGGCAGAATGTAGCAAGTGGCTTCCTATTTTTCAGTCAAGTAGTTCTGTTTCTGGACACATATTGTAAGGAAGCCTGCGGAGGCCTCTCCCGCTGTGGACCTCTTCCCGCCTGCCCCAGTTGCTCCGAAACCCCTCCAGAGAGGAAGCTGCTCCGGCAGGACTGGGGGTGGCCCAGGACCGCTGCAGAGGCCAGCGATGGGGGCAGGGCTTCATGCGTTCTAGGAGCATCTCTGAGCTGGAAGAGTGTGTCAGTGGGATGCATATTGAGTAATTTTGTTTCTGTTGTGTTTCTAGATGAAGACGGTCAGCGTGGCCTTAGTTTTATGCCTGAATGTCGGCGTGGACCCTCCCGACGTGGTGAAGACGACCCCCTGTGCGCGTTTGGAGTGCTGGATCGGTAGGTGCGGCCCCTCCCTCCTCCGTGCGCTGGGGCGGGCGTCCCTGGGGGCTCTGGGCTGGGCGGGGCTTGCCCTAAACCCCGGCCCCCCACCCCTGCTGACTGAGTGCGCTACAGGCCGGCCCTGGTTTTCGTGAATCAGAGAGTTTCGTTTCTTTTTGAACTTTTTTTGGAACCTTTAAGGTATGAGTTGTCCTGTATGAAGTGCTTCAGGGACAATTAGGAAGTAATGATTATTGGATTATAGCATTTTCTCCTTTAAATTTGAACGTGGTAGTAGCTTTGTATACTTTAAAAAAAAACGGAGCGGCTGTTTCCTGTGCACACTGCAAGGAGGCCTGGTTCTCCCCGAGGAAGGCCTGCCCAGTGCTTAGCAGCTCGGTGTCGCGGGAGGGGTGAGCATTCGGCCGTCACCGTTCAGCAGGATGTTTCTTAGTCTGCTGGAATTTTTTTTGTCAAGACTCAATGCCGAGGGGCACCTGGGTGGCTCAGTGGGTTAAGCGGCTGCCTTCGGCTCAGGTCATGATCCCCAGGTTCTGGGATCGAGCCCCACATCGGGCTCCCTGATCAGCGGGGAGCCTGTTTCTCCTTCTCCCTCTGCCTGCCACTCTGTCTACTTGTGCTCTCTCTCTCTCTCAGATAAATAAATAAAACCTTAAAAAAAAAAAAAGAATGCCGATTCTTATGAAGTGCTTTCTCAACATCTCTGACATATCACCTGGCTTTCCCGTCTAGTTTGTTGATGTGGTGAATGACACTGGTGGAGTCCTGGGTGTTAAGCCAACCTTGAATGCCTGGTGTTATCTTTTTAATATATTGCTGGATTTGATGGCGAATAATTTGTTAAGGAATTTTTCCAACTGTGTTCATGAGTGGTATTGGTTTGTGGATTTCTTTTCTTGCAATGTGTTTTTTTGGTTTTGGAAGCAAGATAATGATGCCCTCATTTAAATGCGTTGAGAAGTAGCCCCGTTGTTTGTTTCACGGAAGAGTTTGTGGTGAATTGGGGATTATTTTCTCTCTGAACTTTGGCGCAATTTAACAGTGAAGTGTGGGGTTTTTATTGTTTGTTTTGTGGATCATTTAGTTCTTGATAGGATTGGGGACAACAGCACCCTCCCCCCTCCAGCTTTTTCCATCTCTCAGCAAAAGCAGAAAATCCCTTCATCTGCTTTAAAAAACAAAAATTACAAAGGACATATTTCCTCTGCTATGTGAAGGCCAGCCTTGTGGGGCTTGGATTTAAGGGAAAAACCTCCATTAGAGGCTGTTTTTGCTCATTGAAAGAGCCCCCAGAGGGTTTCGCTGGCAGGAAGTGGGGATTGGCTCACTAGAGGTGTGGGAGGAACACTCTGTTTTGGATGGGATGGGGTGGGGGGAGCCGAAGCCTATATTCTAGTCTGAATTGCAGACGGTATTGTTTTTCTCACTTTGCTTGCCAGTCTCACTGTCTCTGGGGCCTTAGGGGGACCGTCTCTGTCTCACAGCCTCCCCGCTGGCAGCCCAGGCCTCTTGTTCCCCACGCCCAGTGACAGAGTAGCTGCTCCCGTGGCTGATTTCCCTAGAGACTTCTTGGCTTTCTGCCACATCCCGGTGTCTGTGCCGGTGAAATTGACTTCTTATTAGCCACCACTGACTGTTTCCACTTCATTTACCCCTTGTGAAAGCTGGATTCTGCCACTTGTGTTCTATTTTCTCCCTCTTGAAGTACTCTTACCTTCGGTTTCTAGAACAATGCTCCTCAACCTGGATCCCAGGGTGTGCTCCCGGAGATGCGTGAACCCTCTGGGATCCTGTGGGTCGAGGTGTCTGAATATGGAATTGTACCTTCCCGGTGAGGACCCTCGGCTTCCATTCGATTCTCTGGGCTTTTTCTCTCTGCCCCCCCCAAGAAATCAAAAGAGCCCTCCCTCGTACCTCACAGTGTCTTCGATGGGTATTTATGGGACAATGTCTGTGAAAATGAAAGGAGTTCCTTATTTCCTCCTTGCCTTGAAAAGTCCAGGAAATGAATAGATTTAAAAAAAAATTTTTTTTTTAAATTTATTTGACAGAGATCACAAGTAGGCAGAGAGGCAGGCAGAGAGAGAGGGGGAGGAAGCAGGCTCCCCGCTGAGCAGAGGTGAATAGATTTTTTATACCATGTTTTTAAAATTACTCTGCCAGTTAGCAATGTAATCTACTCTGTACTAATTGTAGTGGATTTTGAATTCAAAGGGACGGACACCTTTTCTAAGTTAAAAAATTCGTGTTTGCCCTTTATTTCGAAAGTGAATGGGGCTGGCCCTTCTGATGTGGTTTTAACAGTGTGGAATAAGAGAAAGAAGATTCCTGGACACTGGATTCGGCAAATTTGCAGTGGTATCTAGCAGTACATATTTTAATTTTTATTTTGAAAAAAAAAAAAAAAAAATTCCCAAACTTGCCAGCACAGAGCTAAGGAGCTTTTTTCCTGTTCCGTACGAGCGTCAGCTCCTGCAGTGCCTGTCCACCCCTGTGAGTTACTGTGATTCGCACAAGTGTAACCCCAGTGTGGCCGTCACCACCAGGGGGGACCGGGGTGCCTTCAGGTGTGTCCCTAGTCCCAGGACGCTGTTTGTGGCACAGGGACCTGGCTCAGCGCCGTGCGATGCCCTGGGTTTAGTCCCTCCAAATCGGACTAGGTTGTCAGTCTTTCCTTGATGCCCATGACCGTGACATCTGGAAGGTCACAGGCTGGGTTTGGTGGAGTGCTCTGTTCCTGTTGTTTCCTGAGGAGCAGCGGAGTGTCACGGGAGGGCTCTGCCTTCCTCCACGGCCCGTGCCGGGTGGCACACAGTGTGTTTGTCCTGGTACTGGTTATGCAGCTGACTTGCTTACCACTCGCTGTAGCGGTGCTGCCGGAACCCTCTGCTGAGCGCCCCCCTCCCCCTTTGCAAATCAGACCGGTTTGGAGACGAGGGCGCAGCTGTGGGTGGGCCTCGCCTGACGTCCAGCGCATTCGGCGCAAACTCACGGTTTCCTTTTTCACTCGGAGGGTCACAGTCTGCTGTGCCGTTGCTCACCACGATGTGCCCAGTTGCCAGGCTGCCCTGTGCCCACTGGCTCGTGTGGCCCTTGTCTCGTGCTGTTGTCGAGTAGTCCTGATTTCCGGCTGCCGCTTTCCGCCCCATCCGGGCACGGAGCACGCTTCCCAGGAGCCCAGTTCCCATCAGCGACATCCAGATTTAGAAACTGGGATCTGGGTGCTGGTGTCCTCATGGGAACCAGTGCCTCGTTGCTCCCTCTCTCCCTGATGCGTGTGTGCGCACACATGTGTCTGTGTACCCACGTTCACGTCTGTATTTCTGTACTGTGGGTGCAGGTTAAGAACCGTCTCCTTTCCAGCCCGGCAGGACTTTTCCGTGTTTGTTTCTCCCTCCTCTGACAGCCTTGATATGGTTTCTCGCGTGAGGCGGCTTCTCCTCCCTGCTGTCTGCACCCCCGTCAGACTCCTGTATCCTGCCCGTTCCCCCACGGGTGTCTGTCCTCCTCCCTGCCAGGTCCCCAGGCCCTCCACGGAGATGCCTCTTCCCAGCCTGTGGACGGGCCCCGAGCCTCTGATCGCGGAGCGGCTGCCCGCCCGGCCGCGGCCCCATGCCCCGGGCTCACGTCGGAAGAGGGTAGCATTTGGAACAAGGGCTGTAGGTTTCAGGCGTGGTGAGAGCGGCTGCGGGACCTGAGAGCTGGGGCCCAGCGCAGAGATGGTGAGGTTGCACTTAGCAGGGCTGGCGGCTCCGGGTGTTGGCAGCAGAGCTGTTTCCAGCTTCCAGGGGACAGCTAGAAAGGGGGAACTGGTTGGGGAAGGGGGCTGGGGAGGTCGCCGGCCCAGAACCAGCAGCGCCCAGAGGAAGAGCAGCAGAGCCAGGGCCCAGAGTGTGGGGGGTGAGAGGTGCTGGACCAGGGGTTCAGGCGGTGAAGGCCGTGGAGCGGCTCGGCTGGCGGGGTGAGGCCACCCGGGGCCCAAGGATGGGTTGGTTCTGCCCTTTTCAGGATGTGAACATCCAGGTGTGTCATGGCTGTGGAGGGGGTCACAAGGGAGACCCCCTGCAGGGGCTGGGGTGGCCAGGTAGCGTCGAGGGCGCTCCTGCTGTGAAGGCAGCTGTCCCCACGCGGTGGTCCCTCTCCAGCTTTGTGCGAAGTCCGAAGGGTTTGCGTCCATCGGGACCCTCGCCTTCCTCCTCTCAGCTGTTCACGTCAGCAGGTCCTTGTCCGGCAGCGGAGCGGCGACGGCACCCACCTCTCGGCTGGGGACAGCGGTCACGGGGAGGGCGACGAGGCTCGGTGCCCACCCCGGGCCGCGTGGGAACCGCGGTGCGTCCTGTGGCCGCTTCTCTTCTGCCCCCGTGCGCTGGCTCAGGAGCGAGGGGCGCCTGTGTCCCGCGCTGGTGCTGCCCTTGCGCCGGCCCAGGGGGCGGCTGCTGTGTGGCCAGAGGGTTCTAGCGGGCGTCTGAGAGCAGAGTGCCGGGCGCTCCTCTTCTTAAGCAGACGGTACCTGTGTCAGGTGACCGCGGAGTCTCCCGCGCTTCCCCTCAGGCCTGTGCAGGGGGGTCTCTGTGCCGGGGTCAGGGGCTGGCGGGATGACGGCTTTCTGGCCGCAGACGCACACACATCAAAGCACCAGAGACGGTCTGTGCTAGCGGACACTGCTCGGAGCTCGGGGCGACGGGTGCGGGTAGCTTGAGAAGGGGCCGACTCACTTTCGGTCTGTTCTGGTGGCCCCAGGCGTGCTCTGCCAGCACACAGGAGAGACTCCGAGCCGGGCCTGGCCGAGTTTGGCAAGTGGCCCCTTAGGTGTTCTGATGGTGACAGCAGTCGTCGTTGCCGGAGCGCACAAGGAGCCGGTTTGCCGTGCGGCTCCCGAGTGCACGGGCTCCTCGCCGCCCCCCGGCGCAGGGCAGGCTCGGGCGCCTGGAGCCCCGCACGGCTGGCTGTCGACACCTCTTTCCCCACGCCGGCCCTTCCACTCCGCCTGATAATAA